CGGTTACCTCCGAGACCGCCTTCTGCCGCAGATTCCCTCCCACAGACCGGTACGCTCCCACAGAGTGGGTCTCCTCAGGGTGCCGTCGGCCAAGCAGTGTCGGCTGGCGACCCCCAGGGGGAGGGCCTTCTCTGTGGGTGCCCCTACCCTCTGGAATGAACTACCCCCCGAGATTCGGATGATTCCGGATCTCCTTACCTTCCGTCGCGCCCTCAAGACATGGCTCTTTCAGCAAGCGGACCTGACCTAGGGAGGTTTTTATACTGGGTTCATTTTTAGGAATTTGGAAGACACAACTCTAAAATCTGGTTTAATTCGGTTTTAAGGGGGGGATTGTATATATGCTTTTGTTTTAAATATGTTGTGCGCCGCCCTGAGTCCCGCAGGGAGAAGGGCGGCATATAAATTAAATTAAATAAATAAATAAATAAATGATACCTTATCTTCAAAACAAACCTATGAGGAAAGTTAGGGTCTTTACCTAAAGCATGGGTGGGCAACTGTGGCCCTTTTACGACCTATGGACCAACTCCCAAAATTCCTGAGCCAGCATGCTGGCTCAGGAATTCTGGGAGTTGAAGTCCACAGGTCATAAAGGGGCCATAATTGCCCACCCCTGGCCTAAAGATACTCAAGGAAGTTCATATCTGAGGAGATTTAAAAGGATCTCCTTGATTCTACTCTAATATTCTAACCACTGTTATCCTACTGACATGAGACTAAAGGGGAAAAAAGCCAAGTGTGACCAGGAATGGATTTGGCCATGCAAAGACAATAATCATCATTTAATTTAGATATTCTTTTCTCTTTACCCCTCCCATCCTCCTCCTCCTCCTCCATTATTCTTTAGCTTTAAGTATATAGTTTTTGCACCAGCTTCCAAGTGGGCATTCCAACAAAAGTGACATAGATCCATATGGTGGAGTCCTTGGTACACTCTGAACTTGGTTGTTTGCTTGCAGACGTGTCATTAACCAGCTAGATAACATCATGGTGTTACCCAGTCAGGAAATGAAATAACTGCAAGTAAACAACCAAGCACAGAGACTACTAAGGATTCCACTATTCAACCCTGAGTTACATACAGTCCTCTTCTGTTGATCCCCACAATGTGCCTGTAGTTTTTCTAGGGGGGAAAAACGTAGAAGTTGTGCTGAAAGTTGTGGTCCTGATGATTTTTCAAGCCTAATTTGCTGTCATTTTTTCCTAACAAAGTCGCGGTACAATACATTTTAGCTAGTCAAGAAAACCATTTCTGAGGTTTGGTGTCATTTCTTTGACTTGTGCTCCACTTTTTGGCATTTTTAAAGTGATAACACTTCAGTTTAATGAGCCATTTTGGGGAAAAGAATTTATTAAATCTGAATTTAAGAAATAAATATTTGCATAATTACATAGTTGACATGTTTATATTATCTGTGTAATGGAAAAGACATAAAAAGTCAAATAGTAATTATGATAGAAATGGAGGCAAATGGCATAATTACATAGTTGACATGTTTATATTATTTGTGTAATGGAAAAGACATAAAAAGTCAAATAGTAATTATGATAGAAATGGAGGCAAATGACTTAAGCTACATCAAGTGTCCAGACAAAATTTGTGGATGAGATCTGAAGACACATTTTATCCACTGCATCCAGACTCCATTAAATGGGAATCCCATTAAATTGTGGTATCACAATAATGTCACAGTGCTTTAGATTAACTTTCTTCTCCCAATGGAGATGAAGAAGCCAATTCCAGCCTTTTTTATTGTACTGGCAACATGCACACTACATCTACTTACTCTGCTAATGAAACACCAGAAGACCCTATGCATGCCTCTTTTAGAGAACATGCAAATAAATGTGTTTGGGTTTTTTTGTTTTTTGTTTAGAGTGAGCATGGAGGATTGACCTTAAATAATCAGGTGAATGGGAAAGGAAAGGTATTGCTGTATTTAAAATGCTCATTCCAGACGGTCTTCCATCCTTGAGCAGTTACGGAATATTACAAGAATAAATGCACTAATGGAATCTGGGAAAGAAGAAGGTCATGGGGACTAGAAACAAGGTAGGGAAACATGCAGGGTAGAACTTTGGGAATTCCCTCAATTGTTCACCAACAGTGGCCATAGGAGGAGTTGGTATTTTTTTATATAGTATAATAAAGTAACATGCATCTCTCTGTGTGTATTTTACTCCTAAGGACTAATGATGCATGTATGTGTATTGTTTGGTATGTTTGTGTGACAGAGGAGGGGGTAGGTATATACATGTTGCTTGGATCTCTGAGGATCTACTCAGGATGTCTCATGAGTAGGTGAAACCCATGAACAACAGCCTATCTTCTAATGCAGTGGTCCCCAACCTTTTCCATACCCCACACGCCTAGAACACTTCTGATATATTTTCGCACCCCTTACAAAAGTTCAAAATAACGGCAACGAATTATGCATATACACTATAATTTTGAAAACCCAAGTTTTCGCACTCCCTGGAATATCGTCTCGCACCCCCAGGGGGTGCGAGCACCCCTGGTTGGGAACCCCTGTCCTAACACATAACCTCCATCAGTTGGGTTTCCATAACACATTAAACCATAAACTAGCCAACCACACTTTAGCTGAGCAGATTCTGCAGTTCCACCCTGTGTGGCCAAATTGAAGTTCCTTAGGCTGTGTAGACCCTGAAAATTCAATTAATTACAAACCACGATTAAATTAATCACAAGTAAACCTCTTGTCTGAGCACAATCTCAATATTTCCATAAGCTGTACTATAGGAAAAGAAAAAGAAAAAAAAACAGGAGCCAGTTACAGACAAATCTTATCCTCAAAGTGCAAAAAAGCTTTTTGGGTAGTTAGTAACATTTTTTTTCTGTGTAGTGTGATAAGGTGCACCTGCTGAAATTCCTCTTGCATTTTGTGCAGCTGCTGAAGCCCAATTGAGCACTCTCTTCATTTTGGCGTTTGGGATTGGAAGATTGTTTTCAAACTTGGGTGTGTATTTGCCGGCTGTTATTTAGTCCTCCTTCTCCACCTCCTCCTTTCCTTCTATGTAGTCAGAGTCTTCCTTTGGGGCCTCTCTCATCATTTTCTTCATCTTTATTTCTTTTTTTTGCCCTCTAGGTAAGTGTGCCAAATCCTTTTTATTTGTTTGTGACAGGGAGAAAAAGGGGGCTAGGGGCTGATCTTTTTATTATACAGTATCATTTTCTATACTTTAAAGACTTGGCAGATAAAAAGCATGGGAGTCCGTGTGAAAGATTACCAGCCTGGCTGAAATTTTCAACCAGAAAGCAAAGTTGGTATTTTAGGAGAAAGGGGATTTAAAGTAGAATTCAAAGAAGGTCACTGGTATGTAATATGAAAACCATGAGGTTATTGACAAGGATATTTGAATCATCATTATCCTGATTAACTTAAAGTATGAGTAGTCTTGTATTATGTTTCTGAAATGGTCTTTTTACTGCAGCGGAAATGTTCTGAATTGGTTATAAATATATTGTGCTCAGTAGGTGTTTTCTAACAGGTTTTGAAAAACTATGATAGTTCAAAGAATTGATAGAAAACAGGGTTTTTTATGTTTGAGAACAAGCAATAACAAAGGCTGGATGCTTGTGTGTGTGTGTGTGTGTGTGTGTGTGTCTCCCATTAAACATACACACACACTAGTCTTGGTAATGCTTCCATTTTAATTGGTACCAGCTTACTAATATAATCTATTGATTACTTGGGTAATAAGCCCAGTTTCATCTCAGTGGAGCTTGCTTCTAAGTAGACACAACTTTTCAAATATTTGGTGTGTATGTGCTTTGTAAATGTAAATAATAAAGACAGGGTCCAGTGTGATCCCTATCCTTTCTTGGTTAGGCTGAAAATAGCTTGTGACTTTAGAGCAGGTGTTGTGTGTCTTTCTGAGATATCTACTGAGTGGAAGGGAAGAGAGAGCCAAGGTCTAAAAATAGGCAAACTTTTAAACTGTCTTAGTATGAAAAAGTCCTTGTGACAAGGAGAAGGACATTTTGTAAAATATATCTCTATTATAAAGAGGAAGAAAACATGTTAAGATGGTTTCCTAAGAAATATAAAATGAGGCAACTTGTTGATGAGTTGTTCAGTAACTATTAACAGGAAGTACTGATGGAATAATAATATAATAGAAAAAAGTATCATTGAACTTAGAATAATCTTTTTAAAAAGTTCTTAAACAGGCATTACTTTAATAGTAAACAAAATTCAGCTGTATCACCCTGAAGAGCACACCAGACACATGTGAATAACACTATAGTCCAAAAGCATATAGGGCAGGCATGTCAAACTCGTGACGTCACGTGACGTCGCGCAACGTACCGGAGCTTTTTTGCCATTGCCGGCAATGGGGTGGGCGCGGCTCTGGTATGATGAAACCGGCCCGCGGGCTGGCAGTTTGACACCCCTGATATAGGGTATAAAAACATATTAAAATCAGTAAACAGATGCATGGATTAAAGCTGAACATTTTATTTCATAGTATTTTCTTCCTGCTCCAGACAGCATCTTCCTAATGAAAACTCACAACTGGCCTCTCTTATGCAAAGAAAGATTTCCAACTTCTACTGTAGGTTTAATGAATTTTACAATCATACTTCCTTCCTTTGATATGCGTTATCCAAAATCAGAACTCTGAAACTGATACATACAAGATCACAAAAGGTGTATCATTGCAGTTCTTTGAAAAACAATTGGATGCTTGTTCAATACCAAACCAAGTATGTGAAGAAACTTGCTTCCTATTCTTAGCCATTGTACTTCATACTATTCAGATACCTTAAAGTGGAGAATTCAGTGTACTGTAAATAGCACTAGCAATAGTAATAGCACTTAGACTTATATACCGCTTCACTGTGCTTTACAGTCCTCTCTAAGTGGTATACAGAGTCAGCATATCGCCCCCAACAATCTGGGTCCTCATTTTACTCACCTTGGAAGAATGGAAGGCTGAGTCAACGTTGAGCTGGAGAGACTCGAACTGTTAGCAGCCAGCAGAATTAGCCTGCAATACTGCATTCTAACCATTGTGCCACCATGGCTCCAATCTGTGATATAATTCCAATGCTCCATGAAGGTTTCTTGCCCCCCCAAATCCACAATACAATTGTGGATGTGTATCTATTAAATATATACAGACACACAAATGTACATACATACTCACCCATATTTCTGTACAGTACATTGCTATCCTGTTCAGTGTTTGTTTGTTTGTTTGTTTGTTTATTTAAATTTGTATACCGCCCTATCTCCCTTACAGGACTCAGGGCAGTGAACAGGCGATAATAAAAATCACAATAAATATCTATTCTAAAATCAGATTAAATAAATAAAGGCCTGCTCTAAAATACCCCATATAAAAACCTGTACTAAAACGTAATTAAGACTACGCCAGGCCGGCCGCACGGAATAGATGGGTTTTCAGGGCTCGGTGAAAAAGGCGCAGGTCCGCAGTTGTACGTAGGTCGGGGGGTAGGTCATTCCAGAGGGCAGGAGCTGCCACAGAGAAGACTCTCCCCCTGGGGGTCGCCAGCCAGCATTGACTGGCCGACGGCACTCTAAGGAGGCCCTCTCTGTGGGAGCGGACTGGTCGAAGGGAGGTATTTGGTGGGAGGCGGTCTTGCAAATACCTAGGTCCACTGCCATGGAGCGCTTTAAAGGTTGTTACTAACACCTTGAAGCGCACCCGGAAGGCCACAGGCAGCCAGTGCAGCTCACGCAGGAGAGGTGTTACATGGGAGTATCTAGAGGCCCCAAAGATCCCTCGCGCGGCCGCATTCTGAACTAGCTGGAGCCTCCAGGTGCACCTCAAGGGGAGCCCCATGTAGAGAGCATTGCAATAGTCCAGTGCATTTTCTGTCTTACTCAGACATTTTATAATTAATACAGGGTTACTCTGGATGAGACACAAGTCTAGCAATGCCTTTTTCTTAATACTCAATGGAACAGAATTCTGAAAAAAATTGCAAACCAGGGTAATTATTGCCAAGTAATTCTTATAGTAAGTTATAATATTTCTATGTGAAAAAGATAGACACGATAATATGACAAGTATTCATTTAGTGTTCATCTTCATTTTACAGCTCACAATGGGAAATAACTACCGTAATTGGCCAAATCTAGTTTAGTCACTCATACTCAATGCAGTGTCAAGAGAAAAGGGCATAAGCATGCAATCAAACCCCTTATCCTTCTGTTCTAATGCTGCTTCTCTGAACTAGCTGAAACTACTAGCATTCAGAATTTTCTACTAATTTGAATTTCCTTTTTCACTGAGCATAACCTAGGGAACTACTACTGTGGTACATATGCAGAAAAGCATTTGTTTCCCTGAAATACACAGATTTTTTTTTAACAATTTCCCGAGGGCGTCATTATTTAGTTTGAGAAAGCATGCAAACAACAAAGTTGGAATTGCCATCAGCTGCTATTTTTCTAGGCAGAATGAAACTCTGCTGCAACTGGCTTCATCCCAGAAAATGTGTCAGCTTAATTCTTCATTTAAGACATCGTAACACATAATCCTTTGGACCAGAGTAACATTGCAAAGTCTTTATAGCATTCATTAATACAATATCCATGTCCATAATTCAGATATATCAGGGTATCCAAATTCACTTCTGGTATGAAACGGGTATGAACTGTTTTAATTCTCTGACTATTGAAATCCAAAAGCCGTCAGATCACCTCCTGGATAGTAATTGCTGCTTGATGGGATGAAAAGAAATGTGGTTTGCTGCAGATGCTGGATATACTGAGTATATTATGCAATTGCCATAAACCATATTGTTGACTTGGGCATACAATGTCACTAGCATAGGTATCAGAAGAATGAATCTTCTGGGTTCTCCCTTTTTGTAGAGACCTGAAGGAAAAAGAGGAAGTTATTTTGGACATTCTATAATAATAATAATAATGATAAAGTTGGAAGGTACCTCGGAGGTCATCTAGTCCAACCTCCTGCTCAGGCAGGAAACCCTATACCATTTCGGACAAATGGCTGTCCAGTTTCTTCTTAAAAACTTCCAGTGTTGGCGCATTCACCGCTTCGGGAAGCAGGTTGTTCCACTGGTTAATTGTTCTAACTGTCAGGAAGTTTCTCCTTAGTTCTAGGTTGCTTCTCTCCTTGATTAGTTTCCATCCATTGCTTCTTGTCCTGCCTTCAGGCGCTTTGGAGAATAGCCTGACTCCCTCTTCTTTGTGGCAGCCCCTAAGATATTCCCAAATCAGAGACTTGAATAACAGACCCTCTCTATCCCTATCATTCCAAAAACATACATGTTACAGAGAGAATACCTATCCAATGGTGTGCTTCAGTGCAGGGCATTTTTATTGTGAGTCAGCAACAGGAAGCACCAAAAAAAAGCAAAATGTACAGATGGAAAGTAATTATTTTAAAATCAATAATAAAAAAGGAAGAAGATGGAATTGTTGTGAGAGAAGAGCGCCCATGCTGGTGTTCTTTTAATATGATGTGATTAGTACTGAGTAGTCTACCTCTGATTGCATTTAACAACAGGAAAGAATAATTTAAGCAGTTGTATGGAAGAGTGTTCTGTGCTTCTTTAAAGACATCAGATATGTTCTGAACTGAATTCCCATTGGACATATCCAGCCGAGGTGGTAGGGGCACAATCTGATAGTGTGTTCTGGGATGAGTTGGAATTAGTGATTCTTGAGAAAATAAACAGGGTTCTTTGTGTTGTTAGCTTGTGTTGTTTGTTGGACCCGGGCCATTCTTGACTTGTTGAAGGTGGCTAGGACATCTTCTATAATGGGATTCAAATGATGCTGCTGGCCTTTTTGAGAGAGGGATGGTTCTGAAGGCCTTGAAAGAGGCTGTGATATACCCCATCTTCAATAGGCCCAATTATTTTAGATGAGTATCATCCTGTCTCCAATCTTTCCTTTTTAGGGAAGATTGTTGGAATTTCTCCAGGTGAGGCTGGAATTTCAGAGGATCCTGGAGGAAGCAGATTATCTGGATTAAGTTCAGTCAGGGTTGATGACTTGTGATGGAGCCAGGATGGGGGATGATGTATCAGCAGTTTTCAATACCACCCATCATGGTACCCTTCTGGACCAAGTCCAACACAGTGGATACATTCTAGATATCCTAAATTAAATAGTGTTGTCTTTTGATACAGAGGAATTGCAGCTTTTCTATAGTTGTGCCTGTTCTCTGGAGAGAGAGAGAGAGATTATATTTTATTATTTATTACTGGGATTGTACACTTGCTATTACTTTAGAAGTGTGGAAGATACTGGAAATACCTAAATAAACCTGTATATAAATAAATTGTCTATTGCCAACCATGAAAAGCAGGCTAAAACTGTTGACTTCGGCGTCAGTTGTTTTGCCTCTTGCAATCTTCAAGATGTTCATCTAAAATTGAGCTCTCTTTGCTGCCAGGTATCCAGCATGGACTATAACCAAAGCACCAGTGACCAGCCTGGGCAGCAACAGTCACCTTCTGCAAACACCCCTGAAGATCTGTCTTCTCAGAATGGCTGTGGGAGAGCAAGTGAGACCCTGCTTCCTCAGTCGCCTGAGAACGCAGCCCAGGCTGAGCCTGAAATAAAAGTCTGTGATATATCTGAGATGCTGAGCCAACAGCTGGAGGACATTCTTAAAACCTACGGGTCAGCTGCCTGTCTGGAGGAGGAAGGAAACACGAAAGCAACAGGCGGACCTGAAAAAGGAGAATCGGTCAATCCCGAAGATGGGGACTGTGAGGATGGCCACGATGAGGCTGAGAAAGAACAGGTCCCTTTGGAGGATGCCTCTGGATTCAAAGAGGCCAGTATTCCGAAAGAACAAAAACCGGAAAAGAAAATGCTGAAAGGATTAGGCAAGTAGTGATTTGTGTAACTGAAATGCAGAACTTAAGTGCGAGTCATTGCTGGTATTGGAGAAAACATGACAAGGGTCTCTGTAAAATGTCAGCATTTGGCATTGATCCCGCCTGCTCTCTTCTCCACCGTTGCAAAAAAAAAAAAAGTATGATTTTTTTTCCTGAAAAGTGGGGACTTGCTTTGTTTTCAAGTGAAAAGTTTGGAAAATTAGAAACAGTTTCGGGCAGCAATAATAATGGGAGTGAGTAGCATTTGATCAATAATGGGCACTTTTGTATGTTGGGTTCCAGATGTGCGAGGGTGTTTATTTTTATTTAATAATAATAATAATAATGATAAAGTTAGAAGGGACCTTGGAGGTCATCTAGTCCAACCCCCTGCTCAGGCAGGAAACCCTATACCATTTCGGACAAATGGCTGTCCAGTTTCTTCTTAAAAACTTCCAATGTTGGTGCATTCACCGCTTCTGGAGGCAGGTTGTTCCACTGATTAATTGTTCTAACTGTCGGGAAGTTTCTCCTTAGATCTAGGTTGGTTATTTGGTTATTTAGCAATAGCAATAATCTATAAAGCTTCACAGTGCTTTATAGCCCTCTCTAATAATAATAATAATAATAATAATAATAATAATAATAATAATAATAATAATAATAATAATAATAATAATAATAATAATAATAATAATAATAATAATAATAATAATTTAATTTATATACCGCCCTTCTCCCGTAGGACTCAGGGCGGTGCACAGCATATTAAAACCGATACAAACAAAATACATCAAAAAACAAAAAAAACCCATAAAACCAAATTAAAAGCCAAATATTGGAAGCTGTGTGTCAATTAAAATTTTCTTAAAATCATCCCTACCTAAAATCCTCCCTAGGTCAGGGCCGCTTGCTGGAAAAGCCATGTCTTGAGGGCGCGGCGGAAAGTAAGGAGATCCGGAATCATCCGGATCTCGGGGGGTAGTTCGTTCCAGAGGGTGGGGGCACCCACAGAGAAGGCCCTCCCCCTGGGGGTCGCCAGCCTACATTGCTTGGCCGACGGCACCCTGAGGAGGCCCGCTCTGTGGGAGCGTACCGGTCTATGNAGATTTCGCCCCCTATAGTCAGCGATGGGGTCAGCTGACTATGCCGAGGCGCCGGCAGCCACAGCCACTCGGTCTTGGAGGGGTTGAGCCTGAGTCTGTTCCTCCCCATCCAGACCCGTACGGCCTCCAGGCAACGGGCCATCACGTCAAGGGCATCGTTGGGGTGGCCTGGGGTGGAAATGTACAGCTGCGTATCGTCTAAGCAGTTTACAATGTTAGTATATTGCCCCCAACAATCTGGGTCCTCATTTTACCGACCTCGGAAGGATGGAAGGCTGAGTCAACCTTTATCCTGCATTTCCTGGGTCAAGGCATAATGCAGATGGGAATCTCCCCCCATTTTATTCCCACAACAATAACCCTTAGAATCAAGTGAAGATCAGAAAGAGTGAGGGCTAAAGCCACCCAATAACTTCAATGATGGAATAAGAATTTGAATCTAGGTCTTTTCAGCCCAGCATCCCAGTCCACCAGTTTGGCCTTCTCAGTTTTTTGATGTGTTAAATAATGCATCTTTCTCCTATGTAATGTTTCCACTATAAAACAAAGTATATAGTTATTTTATTTATTTTTATTTATTATTAAATGTATTCTCTGCCTTTCTGCTTATATACCCCCTAGAAAGGCTTACAATAATGTAAGCAAAACGCAACAGTAAAATATACGGTACACACTCATTGATAAGCTGAGAATTTTAGGTGCCAAAATACACTCCCAAAATTGGGTTCAGTTATCCATGAGTAAGTACAATAGTTGTGTTTTGTTTTTTTAAAGACAATTAAAAGCTTGACTGTTGAGATCATTTTTCCATTGTCCTAAATGCTGAAAAAGTGGACAGCTTTCTGAATCCTGAAAGCCATGGATGTAGTCCTCGACTTACGACCACAACGGAGCCCAAAATTCCTGTTGCTAAGTGAGACAGTTAAGCGAATTTTGCCCCATTTTTATGGCCTTCCTTGTCACAGTTGTTCAGTGAATCACTGAAGTTGTCAAGCTAGTAACACGGTTGTTAAGTGAATCTGGTTTCCCCATTGACTACGCTTGGCAGAAGGTTGCAAAAGGTGATCACGTGACCCCAGGACCCTGCAACCGTCATAAATGTGAGTCAGTTGCCAAGCATCTGAATTCTGATCACTTGACCATGGATATCCTGCAACCATCTTAAGTGTGAAAAAGGTAATAAATCACTTTTTTCAGTTCCATTGAAACTTCAGCTGGTCATTAAATGAACTGTTTTAAGTCAAGGACTACCTGTACAGAAGAATATCTTAAATGGCCAATTTCTAGCAATGACAGCATCTTCAGCAGAACAATAAAGCATCTTCTTTTAGAGATTCTGGACCTAAACCAGGGGTAGGCAACCTTGGCTCTTTTATGACTCGTGGACTTCAACTCCCAGAATTCCTGAGCTAGCCATGCTGGCTCAGGAATTCTGGGAGTTGAAGTCCACGAGTCATAAGGCTCAAGAATTCTGGGAGTTGAAGTCCATGAGTCATAAAAGAGCCAAGGTTGCCTACCCCTGACCTAAACTATTGGGGACTTTAAAGGTAAAAAAACCCCTGCACCATAAATTGTATCTGGATGGCAGCTTCTTAATAGTAGATCATTCAGGGCAGGCTTCATATAATCCTTTCTAACACCCTGCCTGTGTTAGAGGTTTGCTCCACACATTTTGCACCAATTGCCATTTTTCAAAATGTTTTATTTATTTATAAACCTTATAGGCCACACTAATCCCCCCTCAATATATAATTGGGATTTAAATTGGGATTAAAACAAGAAAAAGGTTTTTAAGAAACTATGAAACTGGGAATCAGAAAAGCACTAACAGTAAAAAAAAAAAAAAAGAAAGAAAAAAAATCTCACAAGAGGCAGTCAGACAACCCAATCCTCCTTGATGTGATAAAGCTGCCAGGTTTGCAGATGTTTCATTAGGTAACGTGAGTACATTGCACTGCACTGATGATGTTACCTAGTTGGATAATGAAAGGTCTGCAAGCAAACAACCAAGTTCAGAGAACACCAAGAATTCCACAGTTCAACCCTGAGCTACCTATAATTCTCTTCTATTGGGACATGGATAATTGTCACCAAGTTGAGCCAACTCAAAAAGGGGGTTAATTAGTGTATTAGCCATAGTTGTGCAAACACAACCCTTCCCATAGCTGCTGCTTGCAAATCCAGTGACAGCTGAGTATCAAAAAGCACTCCCAAATGCCACAGCCTTTCTCCCTCAAAAACTATTTAAATTTTATGTTATCTCTCCTTATTTCATCTATTTGTCCCTACTTTTGTAATATAGCCCATAAACACACCACAGCAGTGGTGGGATTCAGCCAGTTCGTACCACTTTGGCAGAACCGGTAGCTAATTTTTTGTTGCCCAGGCCCAGAATGGACTTCCGGAAGCAGCATCCACACAGAGAACCGGCTGTTCACATATTTGAATCCCACCACTGCACCACAGTCTTTAATAAAGAGCCTCTGTAGATTTCTCTCATTAGACATGTCAGTTTTGCCATCTCCCCCAAGTCCCTAACTTCACATATCCAGTCTTCCACGTTTGGAGCTTCTTTATTTTTCCATTTCTGCCCATATAATAATCTTGCTGCAATAATCATATACAATAATAAGACACCGTGCATTTTACTCAGTCCTTCTTCCATAAACCCTAATAAGTACAGTTCTGGTTTCATCTGACAAGGAATTCCTATTATGAATGAAGGCAAACATACTTGTCCCAGGTTAATGTTGCAGGATCAAGTCTGAGTCCAGAGAAAGCAGTTCCCCAAGGATGGGCTCCAGCACAAGTCCAAAAGCTTAGGAGACTAAATCTCCGGTCCTGGTGACCGACTCAGATTCGATTCCTATTATTTTCACCAATGTCCTGTGGATCGCTGACCAAAATATTTTGCCCAAATCTATCACAAGGATAATATGTTTCATCCCTTTTTCCACATTTCCAACATTTGCACGAAATATTCTTATAGAGTTTTCATAGTTTCACAGTTGTCAAATGCCATCTCTACATCAATTTGTAAAAACTTTCTCTTAAATTATTGCACAAAGTGAATTTAATTTTGATGGAATTCTGTTCCAAAGAGGCAAAGGACTTTCCCTAGCCCGGGGTAGGCAACCTTGACTCTTTTATGACTCATGGACTTCAACTCCCAGAATTCCCGAGTCAGCTATGTTGACTCAGGAATTCTGGGAGTTGAAGTCCACGAGTCATAAAAGAGCCAAGGTTGCCTACTCCTGCCCTAGCCCTTTCGTGCAGATATTAATTGGCATAGGGAACAAGATATAATTATATGGAACATAATTTGTTAGTGACAAGGATATTGAATAGTTTTTCCTGCACCATCTTCTGGCTATGCCCTGACCCAAAAAGCCAGAATCGCTGCAACAGTGTTGAAAAATAGTGCCCAACCCTATGGGACATCTCGGAAATATAATATTGTTAACATTTAGGTTTCTGCATTCTTTTAGCTTGTCATCTCACAAAACACAATTATTTTAATTTCTGGATAAAAAGTAGGTATAAAGTTGATGTAGCAGCAGAAAAGGAAAACCATGGAATGTATCATCAGTAGGTGTTCTGTGCATCATCTTCCTGATCTTTTAAAATACAGAAGCACCAAAACCTGATTAGTCAGTTTTCAGATTAAGATATATTCGTGCAATCTTAATTTTTTTCTGACGCATTCTCACTTTGATCGCTTATCCTATTTTTCTGATTCAGGAAAAGAGGCTACCCTGCTAATACAACATCTGACCAAGCTGAATACACCAGAAGAGAAATTGGAGCTCTTATTTAAGAAGTATGCTGAACTGGTTAGTATAGCACTTATGAAGATCTGTGGTAGGGAGGGGGGAACTGTTTAAAAACATGTCTTATGTGATGCAAAATGGCCAGATTGCAACTTGGAAGCAGATACAGTATCTTTTTAAGATCCCTGATAAAAGCATTGAAAATGCCATCTTAAATTTGGGGAAGGGAAGATTCCTCCACTCATTTGCCTTTCTTAGTTATATTGTATAAGACACATAAGTATGATCAATATTCTGGGTCAGCTGGAAGAGTTGGAGGACACTATACTGGAATGGTTCTTCTCTTTCATAAGGAGGTGATTTCAGTCAGTGGCCTTGGGGGAGGAGAGGTCAGACCAGGGGTCTTCAAACTTGGCCCTTTTATGACTTGTGGACTTCAACTCCCAGAATTCCTCAGCCAGCATGCCTGGCTGAGGAATTCTGGGAGTTGAAGTTCACAAGTCATAAAAGGGCCAAGTTTGAAGAACCCTGGGCCAGACCTTGAACACTCCAATATGGAGTTCCTGCAGTTTGACTCCCTCCCTTATTCTTTTAATATATCTGAATCTATTCTGTTAAGTCACACATTGCTTCAGCAGGAGGCATCACCAATATTTACATTTCTAAATACATATCTCCACCTGAGACAAATGGGAGTCCACTCCCAATGTGTTTGAAGTCTGTCCAGGGTAGAGAGTAAGGGAGATGACCTTGACAGAAATATGCAAGAGCAGAGAGAGATGAAACATTATTTAACCTTGGAGACAAGAGTATATTTGGAAGTAGCTTGAGGCAAATAGCTCCCTGGTTCACTAGGGTATAAGAAGAACAAGCAGGCTTCAAGTTTCTCTTATTATAACTTAACTCAGTAACTTGTAGTTGTGGAGTCAATTTCCAGATCTACCTACCTAGTGGGGCCAACTATCCAAGCCTGGAAGGAAACAGGCTCAGATTTGAGCCAAGAAAGACAAAGTGGTTGTTAATTTAGAAGCCAAAAGATTGTATTAACTTTAATGATAGACAAGGTTGTCTTCTTCTTGAAAGAACAGGTCCACAATCTGGAGGGTTATCTGGACTCATAGTTCCTGCTGGAAGTGACCATGATCAAAAAGATTATTTTCTCAGTTTTGTTTACTGCACTGGTTGTGGCCATTCTTGGAATGGGACGCACTGTGTACAATCACTCATATTGTTGCCTCTCACCTGGATTACCTTAATTCATTTTACATACATGGGGCTGCCCTTGATAACCATCCAGAATCTTCAGCTGGTTCAGAATGGACCTGCCTGTGTGATAAGAGGGCAGACCCATTAGCCCATTAGCTGCCATGTTGATCTGGCAGCTCCCTGGCAGTTGGCTTTTGAGTATACTTCTAGGGTTAATCATCTGTTATCCACCTATTTTAAGTCGAGTCTACTCCTCTGATGCATACAAGTAAAGAGTACCTTACAAAGGGTTCCATCTGTGAAGACTTCAGGAGGTTTGGAAGCAGGTCATTCTATGGAAAACTTGCCCTTAAAGGAAAAAGAGATGCTTTCTCTTGTGACCTTCGGAAGGCTTGTTGAGACCTATATATTTCAGAACGTCTTTAGACTGCAGTAATTCTACCATGGCATATTCAGGGTGCTGTGTCATATGCAGGGCAACAAAATTTTAGATCCCAGTTTTGTTGCCCTGCATATTTATTTATTTATTTATTAAATTTATATACCGCCCTATCTCCCTTGCGGGACTCAGGGCGGTGAACAGGCGATACTAAAAACCACGATAATAAATAAATAGTTTGTTTTAAAATCGAATTAAATAACAGGCCTGTTCTAAAAACACACCCGTAAAAAAAACCCCATATGACACAACACCATGAATATGCTATGGTAGAACTACTGCAGTGTGATGCAGTCATTCTTTTTTTTATTATATTATTTTATTGTTGTTATGAAGATTTGCTGGCTTGTAGACTGTTAATTAGTTAGCTTGATAAAAGAGGCGTTGCAGGAAGAGAATCAAGAATCTGTAGCACCTTTCCCAACTAACACATCTTATTAAGTACTTTTGGCATTTTTATTTCATGTATTTATTTATTCAGTTCTATTTAGTCAATCTCAATTCTATTGACTGTGAGCAAACAATATCATAATAATTGAAAACATAAAAACATAAGAAGAGTTATATTTTTATTATCAATTCCTTGTTATATATAATCTGTATAAAATCCAAGTATGATTGGACACACAAATTCTTTGTGTGTCCAATCACATTTGGAAAAAAAGGATTCTATTCTATTCTATATTCTATTCTATTCTATTCTATTCTATTCTATTCTAGTCTAGTCTAGTCTAGTCTAGACTAGTCTAGTCTAGTCTAGTCTAGTCTAGTCTATTTGTCAGTTGGATTTTATTATATTCCTTGTAATATAATGTGCTAGATGGAAAAAGTATTACCAGATTTCTGAATAAAAGAGATATAAAAGTCTTCATAAATAAATGCATTCTTTGCCATCTATTCCAGAGGTTCCCAACCTTTTGGGCACCAGGGACCCAGAGGTTTTTCCGCGGCCCAGAGGGAGATGGTTTTGTGTGTTGCCTGCATCTTACAGATGTGGCTTTGCTTGTTTGTGCAGCCCAGTTGCTGGCATGCCACGGCCTGGTACTGGTCCATGGACCGGGGGTTGGGGACCCCTGATCTATTCCATCTCCCATCACTCAGCCAGCATTTTGAACACACCCTTCTCCAGACACCAATTTGAATTGCACATCACTTAATTTTACTTTGAATGGAATATATGGAAATAATAATTTGGAAATGGAATAATTAATTGAAGAACTGATAACATTTGGTGCAGAATCGGGAATGGAGAAATTAATTGGGGGTGATCCTTAACCAACCTTTGATTTCTCATTTAATTTTGGTGTGAATGAAACCAAGCCAAAGTTTTTTTCTGGGTATTTTTTTCCCTTTTGCCACTTGTCCACTGCCAGTGCAAGTTAGAAAATCTATTTTATTTGAAGTTATTTGGAAGAAAATTAGCTTTTTTGCCTTCTATGGAATTTAAATAAATTCCAATAATGATTCTAAATATCCATGTTACCTGCGGGGGGGGGGGGTCATGTCTATTAAATGCCTAAGAACTACCTTGTCCCAAGCTCTCTTGTTTTATTCTTGTCCACATACTTTCAGCTGGAAGAACATCGTTCTGAACAAAAAAAGCTGAAGTATCTGCAGAAAAAACAGACACAGCTCATAAAGGAGAAAGACCAATTACAGAGTGAACACAGCAGAACCATCCTAGCCCGGAGCAAATTGGAGAGTCTGTGTAGGGAACTCCAAAGACACAACAAAACCCTGAAGGTAATGAGAAGAGAAGATCTTTAGGAGAAATCAGAAGAAAAAGTTAAGTTCACTTAATATCCTTGGTTCACAATAGATTGGGAAGGATCTTTCACTCTTAAATATTGAAAATTAGTAGCAACAAAATGGTTTCTTGCTTCTGTCTAAACCAGGGGTAGGCAACCTCTGCTCTTTTATGACTCGTGGACTTCAACTCCCAGAATTCCTGAGCCAACCTGGCTCAGCTTGGAAACCTCTCCCTTTCCCCTCAGCATGGCTGGCTCAAGAATTCTGGGAGTTGAAGTCCACGAGTCATAAAAGAGCCAAGGTTGCCTACACCTGGTTTAAACTATACTTTGGAAAGAATTGAAACCTGCTCCTATATTGTGCATAATTTAATTTTGTCTCCTGGATTCCCACTTTTATGTAAAATAACTGAAGCCAGATTTACAGAGATATAACCCAGATTTTTTCCATTGGTATCTCCAGTGGCAATGCATGGAAACTGATGCTGTGTTATAATGCTTTTCTTCAGTTTTATGTGCATCAACAAAGTGTGAGGTATACGAGTGGACACTTTTGGGTGAGCTCAGTACAGTTAAAATATCAATTTCTCCAGAACTTTCTCATAAAATAGTCAATAATGCAACTAAAGAAATTGATCCCAGTCACATGTTGGCCACTATTACATCATTGCTCCTTCCAGATTTAGGATGCCAAAAGTAATGCAAATACATGTTCTTGGCTGCAGAAGTGGCCTACATCTGATGTAAGTTAATGTAAAACTAATTAAAGCAGCATCCAAAGCCCAATAAATATAACTCAGATAGATAACAACCCTTAATCGTCTTTGGTGATCTCAAAAAACTAATGCTGAATCTAGCTGGTATGACCCAATTGTTGTATTACAGGAGGGGACTCTTCAGCGAGCAAGAGAAGAAGAAGAAAAAAGAAAGGAGATCACAAATCATTTCCAGAGCACATTGAATGATATCCAAGCACAGATTGAGCAGCAAAGTGAGAGGAACATGAAGTTGTGCCAGGAAAATACTGAGCTTGCTGAGAAACTGAAAAGCATCATTGATCAGTATGAAGTCAGAGAGGAGGTAAGAGCAAATATGGCAAATAGTCCTTGTTTATTGACTGCTTCATATAGCAACCATTTGCAGTTAAATCAGTGATAAAAAAAAGTAACTCTGTGACCAATCCCTGCATTTATCACCTTCACAGGTCTGTAAAGCAAAAGAAAACTGAAGTAATATCATAAGTACAGTCACATTTTCACTTAGCAACCACTTCGCTAAACAACCAAGTGACTGATTCCAATTATGGTTGCTATATGAGGACTATCTGCACTTTTTAGGATGTTCCCCCAAAGTTGAGAATTAGATACAGCCTTGTGGCACTGGAGTAAGAGTAACCATTCTTCTGTCCCAGATTGTTAATGTTGCAGACATTTTGCAAAATATGCAAAATTTGCAAAATCAATAAGGGGTTTATTCGCCTTGTAATTTCTAATTGAATTAAGTCTAAGCAGTCTAAGCTATACTTTGGACTTTTTGGAGTTTTGCCTATCATCTGTTTTTGTGCATTGTGCCTTGATGATAAGTTCCTTAAATTTCAGAAGCTTGAATGTTCTTTTATGGCTTTCTTAGTAGATTTTTAGTAGATTTTTTCTCTCTCTCCTCCCTAAAGAAGAGATCTATTGTAGTTTTGTTATGTGTACCTCCCTTCATTGCAACTAACATGCCATAGCATTTTTATTCTAGACTCAATATTCGTAACTTAATCATTCCTTTTTATTCTTTATTAAAAAAACCAATGTATTTATTCAGCAACACTGAGGGTCAGTAAGTTAATTGAAGCCCATGAAATGTTGTTTTATTGCTGATGGAGTTTGCCTCCATTATAAGTTTTTATATGGTTGTACTTTGATGTTTATTTTGGTATTGTGCTTTTTATGTAATGTTAGTCACCTAGAGTTGCTGTGGTGAAATGGGCAGCCATATAAATTGAATAAATAAATATCACCAGTAAAATAAACATATTTGGAATGCTGCAAATAAATTTCAGCAGCTATAAAGAAATTATGATGCATGAACTAAGAAAAGCTCTATTTACTTGATCTTGTGTAGCTTGTAATTTCAGAATTGTTTTTATTGGGGATACTTAACATCTTTAAATAATTTAAAAATCTAAATAATCTCTTCCCAACAAACAGAAGTTGAAATAACTTCATAATACTTCTGCTATTTTAAGTTTGTTGTTGTTAACAGCGCAATTCGGTACTTGCCTACTCAAAAATAATTCCCGATGAGACTTATTCCCAGATTCATAGAGAGACTGCAGTCTTAATCATGTACTCTAGCATTCCCCCATCTCTTTATCTCTCTCTCTCTCTGTATTTTTTTTTCCCTTCCAGCATCTTGATAAAATATTTAAGCACAGAGAACTTCAGCAGAAACTGGTAGATGCCAAGTTGGAACAGTCACAAGAGGTCATGAAAGAAGCTGAAGAAAAGCATCAGCGAGAAAAGGAATATGTATTCAATTTTTTTCCTAAGTTGTTTATGTGTAGTTTGTGTTCACCCCTGAAATGCCCTTTGTTTGTTTTATATCCTGTCTTTTATTTTTTTACAACTCAAGTTGATGTGCATAATATTCCTGTCTTCTATTTTCTCCACAACATCAACTTTCTGAGGTTGGACCAAGATAGAGTGACTGGCCCCAAGTCACCCAGAAGGCTTTCATGCCTGAGGCCTAGAATTGATGGCCTCCCAATTTCTCAACCCCTCCATACTCTAACAGACAGGGCTGTCAGACAGGCAGACGGGACTATGACTCTGTTACCAGACTAGAACTGGAGAGATGCAACTGCATCCTTATGGCAGCTCACACAATATCTCTTAGCCCAGTGATGGGCCCAAAAACCGCCCCACCCCTCCTGCCCGCTTCCACCTACTCCGCCCGCCCCGCCTGCCCATAGGGCCACCCACTGCCTCCACAGCCCACTGCAGATCACTCAGGCAGCCCTGCAGTGCCATGGTGGCCACACCCTCCACCCGTGCCCCACAGCATCATCTGCACACGACGGGGTGTGAGGGTGGAGTCTTGTCCCTGCTGCCCGGCTGCCATATCCTTGGTTGCGCTGCTATGCATGGGCCACGCCCGAAGACAACTCTCCTCTGGGGGGGCTGCTGGTAAGGAGGGGGCCATGGAGAAAAGGCGGGGCTGGGGCAACGGCGCACGTGCCCACAGAGAGGGCTCTGAGTGCCGCCTCTGGCATGCGTGCCATAGGTTCGCCACCACTGTCTTAGCCCTTCTTGTTGTCATCAGAGGCAGGAGTGCATCATTTTGAAACTTTAGGAGCCAGAATCACACAGGTCTTCCATTCCAGAATAGGTTATGTTCACCCTCCCTTAAGTATAAAAAGCAGAAGTATCTGCTGGTTTCAGGAAGCAATGGGCTCATTTGTCGTAGTGACATTTGAAACGTCCACTAAGGAGCTCAAGATGTATCTATAAGTCCCCTAATTTCTTCTCCCTGGAATTTTGTGATTACTATTAGTTGAATTAAGATACGATCTGTCTGGAGATTGCTTAACTCCATAACTGAGTAATAATTTGAACCCATATTCTTCCTATCCAATCTACCACAGGTCGTCCTCATTTAACATGCACTTGCTCAGCGACCATTTGAAGTTATAATGGTTCAGCATACTAATGATACTAATTATAGGATACTTATGATAGGTCCTTGTACTTAGTTGTAAGCAAGTAGATCCATTGACAAGGTGCCTATTTTTAGATGAAATATTTCAATAGGTCATGATTCAAAAATTCATTTGAATGTTTAACATATTTTGCAATAGTATCTACAACATAATATATTCTTTATGGCATACCAAATTAGGAAAAAGCTGATCTTTAGATTTTATATCAGACCAAAATGCTTTAGTTTTGAAATTGCTTAAAGTTGCATTTTGCATTAGCAGCAGAATAACCCTGCTGCCCCCTGGTGGCCTTAATGTTTATTCGCTGCTTGCAATCCAACCAGTTTAATTCTCCTTTAATTTAAAATAATTTTAAAAAGTATTGATCGTATTCAAAACATATGTAATGCCATGCTCAAAATTTAAATATCCTTTAGCCCAAACTTTGGTAAATATTGTTCAGTTAAAAAATTCCTTTTCTACATTTGTTTCAAAATTTATATTTCATACGGGAACAATTTTAATTTCTCATTGCATAATGGTGTGATTATGTGATACACTCCAAGAAGTAGGTGAGGGCAAAATAAAAAAAGAAGTGGATTCAATACAAAAATTAAATTTGATACTTTTTATGCGTTAATTTTACTTACATTAAATTAAGAGCATAGTACTTAAATGTAGTTAATAATTAACCACTTCCATGAATATCATTTCTTTCAATTCAGATGAAAAAATTACAACCTAATGCAAACTTTATGGAGGGGCTTTAGGAGCTACAGCCAATAGTTTTAAGGCCCATATATACAATGGGATAACTCACTACTCACTGCAGGACAACTTGCCATGAGATTCACTTAGTTCCTTTTATTTTTGTTGACCACGTTTTTGTCAAAATTATTTTATCTCTTATATTAAAGGAAATCATTCCTATGACTACCAGCTTTTGTAAGGTTTGATGAATAATAAAAGGAACTAATCCCATGTTGAATTGTCCCATGGCAAGTTGTCCCGCAGTGAGTTGGCTGCAACAAGTAGGATGTAGCGAGTCAGCCATGGCGAGATGGCCTAGTCCAGGGGAGGCAACCCTGGCTCTTTTATGACTCGTGGACTTCAACTCCCAGAATTCCTGAGCCAGCCATGTTGGCTCAGGAATTCTGGGAGCTAAATTCCACGAGTCATAAAAGAGCCAAGGTTGCCTGCCCCTGGCCTACTCATTAGATAAGCGCAATGCACTCTACATGGAGCTCCTCTTGAAGACTATTTGGAAGCCTCAGTTGGTACAAAATGCAGTGGCGTTGTCAGTTGTGTGTTCTCCTAGGGCAGCACATATTACACTTCTGCTCCGCAATCTGCACTCATTGCCGGTTTCCTTCCAGGTCCAATTCAAGGTGATGGTTTTAAACATTTAAAGTCCTTCACGGTATTAGAGCAAGCTATATGAGCGACCACCTCTGCCTATTTGTATCAGCCTACCCCATTTGATCAAGGAGAGAAGGCATGCAGTAGGTACCTTGGCTAGGGAACTACATTTGGTCAATCCTAGGAGACATGCCTTCTCTGCTGTAGCACCTGCCTTTCGGAATATCCTTCCTCCTAAAATTAGATTGGCCCCATCCCTTTTGGTTTTTTGAACAGCCCTCCAGACTGGGGCTCCTACGGAATCAAATCTTTGTCTCAGTGCCTTCACTGTTGAGGGAGGAGGCCCTTTTTATCCTCCCTTCACCTATGTTGAGTATTTTTGTTTGTATGTTATTACTGTGGATTTTTTTTTAGATTTTTATCTGCTATTATATTGGCTGTTTTATCTATTGTTTTGTGCCACTCAAAGTCCCCTTCGGTGAGATGGGCAGCTATATAAATTGGATTAATAAATAAAAATGAAATAATATTAACCCTTCTTTTTTTTCTAGAAGCAAACAAGAACAACCAACTGCATTCAGGAATTGTATATTCTTTATGAGTTGGCTTTCCCTTCCGTCATATTTTATTAATAAAAGCACCGATTATCAGCCCAGAACTTCTCTAATTTGGAAGATAACTCCAGGCTATACAATCCGCCTTTAAAAAAAAAAAGTGCTAATTGAAAATATTGCTTTGAACAGTTGCTTTTGTTACAAGTAGCTCCCAGATTTGTCTTGTAAATTAGACGTGTCAAGTTGAGCTATAGAGTGGAGAGGGCAAAATAAAACTCATTAATGAGCCAGAACACATTACACATACAAGCAGTTTCTGCCTCATCTGTTCTATTTGGCTATGACAGGTAAAAACTAATTCAAGTTTAAACAGGTGGCCATGCAGCTCTGGCAAAACGTTCCGCAATATCAAAATGCAGATAGTTTGTAGGATTAAGAATTAAGTCTGAAATCTAATTCAGACCTCAGAATAATTAGCATTTGTCATTGACTAACAGTAGTTCGCTCTGCTTTGCTATCACCATTACCATACTACATGGGTTTTATTTTAATCTTTGTTGTTTCCCACCAAAGCAAGGAGGATTTAAAAGGACAATGTTCTGAAAACCTCATGAAGAGCCAAATCAACATTTCGCTTAGATTTATAGCTCTTATTTTAAAGTTGCCTAGAGGGGAAGATGCTCATCTCCCACTCGGAAGGTTGAGAGTTCAATCCTAGGGAGCGACAAATGTTTCTCTATCACAGTGTTTCTCAACCTTGACAATTTTAAGGCATGTGGACTTCAACTCCCAGAATTCCACAACCAGCAATGCTGGCTGTGGAATTCTGGGAGTTGAAGTCCACATGACTTAAAATTGTCAGGGTTAAGAAACACTGCTCTATCAGAATATAAAGTGTAAATATCTGCTAAGAACTCCACATAGGTGTCAGGAAGGACATTTTGCCAGTAAACACTCAGCTCCGTTCAGTCACCCTGATTCCACATGAGATAAAAAGGGATTACAGGGTCGTAAAAAGAAAAAAGAAGAAGAAAAACTACCATACTATGTTACTAGAACAAAAATATTTGTTTAAAAAAAAGTAATTTCATATTAATAGCACATTTACAAAAAAAATAAATAAATAAATTTAAATCACTTGATCTTTCAAATGTTGTGTGCATTCTTAAATCCCAAATAGCTACTCAAACAAGCTGCAGAATGGAAACTACAGGCAAAAATGCTGAAGGAACAAGACACTGTTCTCCGGGCTCAGGTAAAATAAGGCCCTTGTTTCTATTATGTACTTTTTCAACTAGCCATGCTCACCATATTAGATGTATAAAAGTGGATAAAACGTTGTAAAACTTATCTATGTTCAAACCCCATTTAAGCATATTCCCTGGAAAAAGAACAGGGTAGCATGCATGCATTAGATTAAATCAGGGGTCTTCAAACTTGGCCCTTTTATGACTTGTGGACTTCAACTCCCAGAATTCCTCAGCTAGGCATGCTGGCTGAGGAATTTGGGAATTGAAGTCCACATGTCATAAAAGGGCCAAATTTGAAGAGCCCTGGATTAAATCCTTATGAATTACTAGAGTGGAGCAGTCCATACCTTTTATTGGAAATATTAGCATAGAGTGTTCTATTATAATTTATCACATGGTAAGAGATAGGAAGAATTAACAATATTGATTTGTGATGGCTAGAAATAGAAAAGTATAATCAGTGCTAATCAAAATAGTGTTTAATTATTTTAATAGTTAATAGTTTTTAATTATTTTTATCTTGTATTGATAAAAAAAATATTTTAGCATGCCTTAGCGCAACCTCTCCCAAGTTAATACAGGTAGTCCTTGACTTACAACCAATTGTTTAATGATGTTTCAGAGTTACAATAGTGCTAAAAAAAAATCACTTGCAACCTGTCCTCAAAGTTACGACCATTGTATAACCCCAGCAGTCATGTGATCCCAATTTGGGAACTTCCCAGCCAGCTTCTGACAAGCAAAATCAATGGGGAAAGCTGGAGTTGCTTAATGAACGTGATTCACTTCATGACCACATGGCTCACTTTACAACCGCACAGATTTCTTTAGCAACCGCACTAAAAATGGCCATAAAATCTGGTCCAGCCAATGATGACTTGCTTAAGAACCACATCACTTAGCGACTGAAATTCTGATCCCAATGGTCATAAATTGTATCGCTGTACCTGTATCGTTGTGTTGAATTTATTTCATTTCACTTCCAGCTAAAGTTTGGGAAGTTGCAGTCTAATTAACTTGGAATTGAGAAAAATTGGAGAAATTTGGCTTCTTGTTTTTCTTATTTTCTTCCATCATCTATTCCTTTTTATTTTAAGAATATTTTCTCTTTAAAAAAGATTCAAAGCCAGCATACATTCCTCTTTGTTTCATGTTTAGAATGTTTTTACCCTTTTTTTAATCATCCATTTTTATTATCAAGGAGTATATTAAATATATGGAATCGGCAACAAGAATTTGATACCAACCTATGCTAGATCAGATACAGCTGCAGAGGTCAAAGAGGAATTGAAATTATGCAATGTTATAAACCAGGGGTGTCAAACTCAATTTCATTGAGGGCCACATCAGCATTGTGGTTGCCCTCGGGGGGCTGGGTGGGTGTGGCCAGGGTGGGTGCGACCTACTGGGTGGGCATGGATGGAGTGGGTGTGCCCTACTGGGTGAGCATGGCTAGCTCTACATTGTTCGTGTCAAGGGTGCCTGTGGGGGCCTGGGCAGGAGTGGAACAGATCTGAGGGTCTCTGGCAGAAGGGGGTGGTCCATTTCTTCATTCCTCACAAAGGGTGACACCTCCCCAGCATGCACCCAGGAGGTGGGGCCAATGCGGCAGGGGCTGGTTCCTCGCTGTTTTTAGACGGCTTTGTGGAGCTAAGATTGAATGCGTTTCAGCATAGATGGCCACCACAAAATTGTACATTGGCTCCCAGCCGGTCTGAGCCAGGGCCAAGGCAGTGGGGGCCATTCCCTCACTGTTTCCAGGATGGCTTCGCGGGCCACATGAAACCACTTTGCGGGCCGCATATGGCCCCCGGGCCTTGTATTTGACATGTTTGTTATAAACCATCAAGGATGGTTGAGTATTTGAAGCTGGGTTTTGTCCAAGGTAGGAAAAACAGTGAAAAGAAAAATATTTTGTCCTTATTACAAATGTTATTTCCCAAAGTTCATATAGCGAAACCAGTGGGATTATCTACATCTGTTTAGCATTTAGGGACATTTTAAGGGCTAGCAATTTGCGATTTTGAACATCTGATATAGTGAAATTGTTAGGAAACTGTTCTTTATGCCGTGTTGATCATGTTAGACATTGGATTCCATTATCCCAATACTAGCACCCTCACTTACCTGAGTCAGCAGAGCAGGGACAGGCAACCTATGGCACTCCTGTTTATTGCTGAAGTGCAAGTATCCTGGAGAAACATGAAGAATTCCGGGAGCTGATAACCTAGAAGATAATTGTGAGGAATTCTGGGAGCTGAAGTTTAGCAAATGCATCTGGAATGCCTACAAGATGCCATCATTTCCTAATTCTTTGGAAGGGAAAGCTTTCTTTAATGAACCTCCGTAATATAACTTCCTTTAGGATCCAAGCCCAATTCTCCCACTCCTTATACCACATCCTCATTTTTCAGGAACATCTTGATTTTCCTTTGAAGATGGCAGAGGATGGAAAAGTCTTCTTCTGCAAACTCTTTTTAAGATACCTTAAATTCCAAGCTAAAAGTTTCATCTTACTACCTTTCTGCGATCTTTTGAATTGAACTGAATTGAGTGCTAATTATTGTGCAATGGTGAGTGTAATTGACCACGTTTTTTTTCCTTCCTTTGAATGCAGCTGACCCTCTACTCTGAACGCTTTGAAGAATTTCAGAAAACGCTAACAAACAGCAATGAAGTGTTTGCCAACTTTAAGCAAGAAATGGACAAGGTGGGTTATACGTTGCATTCCAACTCTACACTTTCCATGTTGTTAAAGGACACCACTGAACGTCTTTCGGGTTGATTTCGTTTGGTTTTCAAGGTTTCCCAACCAATTTTTTGTTTATAAAAGTTTATAAACTTCTCTACTGATAATTTGAGGATGTGCTGTATCCTAGATTACTCTATCAAGTTTCCAGATATTTAGATCCGTTCGTTTATTAGCTTTTGAGGAATGAAATCTTGGGTTTCGGTTGGTTGATTTCTCCAGTAAAGAACATAAAATAGGGCTGGAGCGTGCAGGGTTTTAGAAACCACTAAGCAAATAAATAGATTGTTCGGTCATCTGTAGACTGGGAGTAACTATTATGTAGCCTATGGCGGTTTCCAGTCCCTTCATTGATCCTTCAGAGTTCTCCAATGTCACAGCCCTGAAATACAGTGACAATTGACGGTACAATTTTCTTCATGTTTTAGAAAGGAATGTTTATTTTTAAAAGGCCCTATAAGGATATGTCTATGGAGATTCTCAGTCATCCAGGTCATAGTTGTCCCAAAGGTGCTTTTTCACGAGGCAACTGGACTTTCTTTTTTCTCTTTGAAGATGTTTCACTTCTCATCCAAGAAGCTTCGTCAGCTCTGACTGGATATTCCCTTCCATCCTCCCATTCCCCACCATCCAGTCAGACTTGAAGAAGTTTCTTGGATGAGAAGTGAAATGTCTTCAAAGAGAAAAAAGAAAGTCCAGTTGCCTCCTGAAAAATCATCTTTGGGCCCTATAAGGGTAGAAACAAAGTTCTGTCCTAGCCATTTCTGATAGTATCAGTGTAGTACAATTCTGCAAACTTGGGAGTTTGCGGCATAATAGGAAAATGTCCACGTTAGAGCCCTAAAAGATTCATGTTGTAAACATTAAGGCCATTTGTATTATTATGATTGATTTGCAAAACATGGGACTCTGAAGTTCACAGCATTAGCCATAATAAAAAGTGTATTTATAAACACAGCTTCCTATTTTGTTGTATTTTGTACTGCCATCCTTTTAGCTCTTTTGCTTTGTTATCTTCTTGTAAGCATTTTCATTTAGAGAAATGGAAAGACCATGAACTTCTTAGATATCATGTTTTATCAAACTGTGAAAGAAATCCTACTGCTAGGAGCCAGAAACCATGTTTTAAAAAGTTCAGGAAAGAGTGATCAGATGATAGAATCATTAATTCACTTGGTTAAGTTTATAACAATTCAGAATGTTGTTAATGGAGTAGAATTAAGTGGTATTAAATTGAAGAACAGATTCTTATGAAAAATGTTCCATGCTTATGTCAGCCCTACAAATTATTTAAGAAGCTGACAATAGGCATGCTTTACACTTACTCACTGCTTGGAATTATCCACAAAATCGCCATTAAGTTGCCGTTGTATTATTCATTTATATATAAAAAAAGATGGAAAACATGTAGAAATTGATGGTGTTATTGCAACAGCATTCTATTTTTGCTAGCCTAACAGGAAAAAAAAAATCAAGTATTATATCTGTATTCATAAGCTTATGTTTTGTAAGATTACATATAGATTGATATTTATTCTGAGGATCTCCAGAAAGGGAAAAACAGCAAAGATGTCAGCTTTATAGTACTTTGTATGTATTATGCACCTTTGATTTTCCTGACAGATATTTTTAACATGTCTAACGTGGATTTAAAAATCTTTGCACACACACTGAACCATTCCATCTTCATAATATGACAAGTGATCACAGAAATCAAAATGAGAATGAATGTAAGGATTGACATCAACACTCATTTACATATTTTTTGGATAAGAAAGCATAGATTTAAATCCTAAGGTACAATTCCAGGAAGAAGACAGCAAAATTCATTTGCATACTTTTGGATATGAAATCATAAGATATGAACTCAGGAAGAGGTTTCTTACCACTCTTCTCTCATCTCTGTAGAAAAAGGATCTCTGCAACATGCAAACAGCTTAAGGCAGACATGTCAAACACAAGGCCCGGGGGCCGGATGTGGCCCGCGAAGTGGTTTCATGTGGCCCGCAAAGCCGTCCTGGAAACAGTGAGGGAACGGCCCCCGCTGCCCAGGCCGGCCTGGAGCCAATGTACAATTTTGTGGTGGCCATCTATGCTGAAACGCATTCAGTCTTAGCTCCACAAGGCCGCCTAGAAACAGCGAGGAACCAGCCCCTGCTGTGTCGGCCCCGCCCCCTGGGTGGATGCTGGGGAAGTGTCACCCTTTGTGAGGAATGAAGAAATGGACCATGCCTTCTGCCAGAGACCCTCAGATCTGTCCCACTCCTGCCCAGGCCCCCACAGGCACCCTTGACGTGAACGTTGTAGAGCTGGTCATGCCCACCCAGTAGGCCACACCCACTCCATCCACACCCACCCAGTAGGCTGCACCCACCCTGGCCACACCCACCCGGCCCCCTGAGGGCAACCGCAATGCTGATGCGGCCCTCAATGAAATTGAGTTTGACACCCCTGGCTTAAGGTGACCCCTTTATTCAAGCCCTCGTGCAGTTGCTTCCAACTGTTGTAGACTGCTAATTTACATTATTTTAATCAATTAGTTTTCTGATGGTGGTTCATATCTTGATTTTTCAAAATAAATGGTTTTTGTTATAGACCAGTGATGGCGAACCTTTTAGAAACTGAGTGCAACCAAAACCAACTTATGCATCGTCGAGTGCTGGCTGGGTGTGGCCCATTGGCTGGGTGTGGCTGCGGTGGTAACGGCAGACTGGGTGGGACTAAAAAGTTCAATCAATCAATTCCAACTTTGCAAGATCTTTTTTTTCCCGCGAGAAGTTGAAATTGACTAATTGAACCTTTTTTTTTTGGTACATGGCGGCAGCGGCCTAAAGTGAAAAGGTTTTATAAAACCCAGCTGAAGGCCTAGGACTGGGACGATGGTGCGCGTGCCCACAGAGAGGGCTCTGAGTGCCGCCTCTGGCACCCGTGCCATAGGTTCACCACCACTGTTATAGACCATTTTGTGACTCTTAGATGAAGGTATAGAAATGTAAAAAATATAATTATGATATAAGGGAACATGGGGGCCGACCAATTTGGGTGATTTTCCCCTTCCCTGCGTGGCAGGTTGTCCCACACCCCAGTCTATATTTTCAGGAAGGAAAGTCACACAGTATTCCAAAAAATATGGTGTAGCGCAAGTTGCTAGATGGGATGGTCAACTACTTTTTCCAGGGCTAGAGAAAGAATTGTTGAAAGAATTATAGATAGAATAAGAAATAACAAAACAAGTATATAGAAGCAAGGAAAGAGAATAATAAAAAATATGAGTATTTATACAATTTAGGTTTTTGTAGGCAGGATAATTTCTGAAATATTCCCCATCTCTAATATTTTTTTCAATCCAGACACTCAAATGGGGAATATGTAGTAGAATCTCAATATATCCACCAACATTTTACCATTTTGCTGTTTCCTCTTCATGGTTGATATGTCTGTCTACACATGAAGAGTGCCTGTCCACTGATGTAGTAGTATCCACCAGTTGAATGGATAACTCCCTTTAAGTGTATCCCAGTCTGAGAATTGAAGAATACTATATCAAACCTAAGCAGCATATGGAGAAAGGAAGCTTAATTACATGAATAAGTACACTCACACAATGTTGGATACAACCCCTTAGGTTTGGACTAGTATCTTTGAGAGTAATAATTGGGAACCATCTATGAAGCTACGATTCTCATACAAAATCCATTAAATTAATTTGGAGGTTGTATGAGCATTTAATTAGCTTACGCAGCCCTAAGGTAAGCCATTTAGGAAAAAGTCAAGTTTAACTTTCCTGCTCTGTCCACTAGATTTTTATTTTTTTCACAGATGACAAAGAAAATGAAAAAACTGGAAAAGGATACAGCCACATGGAAAGCAAGGTTTGAGAACTGTAACAAAGCTTTACTGGACATGATTGAAGAGGTATGAAACAAATTTTAAAATCAGTTGCATATAAAAGCCATATAATCTTGTTCATTAAAATGTTCTTAATAAGGGAGCCATGACGTCACTATTACTGGAAAGATTTCCAATACTGTTCATACTTATTTGTCTGCTTAGTGGCAATTAATAAACGAAGTAACAGAATAGAGTTATGTAAGCTCTTGTTGCATGTGGGAAATGAAATGATAAAATTAAAGAAATCTGAAATTTGGAGTCACGCTTTAATTCAGAGGCAATCCAGCTGTCAGCATGCATGGCCACTGGATAACATTTGCACAATCCAATTATCCCATTTGCATTTTTCACTGAGCAAGTTGGCAAAATATTTTTAAAAAAAGACTTTTAACATGATTTAAATGCAATAATAGAATGACTTGGGCGGGCTTCATGCATTGCAGAAGTGAAAGGCTAAGAGCAACATGCTATAATTTGTAATTTCCCAATTTCCCTTTTCGCACACACCCTTTCGCATCCTGCAAGCTAAAATTAGCATCTCTAAGAAGTCTTAGCTGGCTCTATAGATTTGCATAAATTGAATGTAAAATCTCGGGCATAAAAGGTCCAGGATACCATAAAGTTTGCAGAAATGGCAAGCCAATGGTAGGACCTTGAGGTTACCTTTTAAGTAGTATTTGAACAAGCAAACAAGAAAAGGAGGACAGATTTGTCTGGCCATTTAGATTCTCTTTTGTCGTGTTATCAGCTTGGCAGCCTTCAAATATTTTTCTTTTTTTACTCTATCACAGAAATCCATGAGGGCCAAGGAATATGAATGTTTTGTAGTGAAAATTCAAAGACTAGAAAATCTTTGCAGAGCTCTGCAGGAGGAACGGAACGTATTGTACAAAAAAATAAAAGAAGCACAATTCCCTGAAGAGAACAAAGAAGAGGAGGCAGAAGAAGATGAGGAAGAAGAACAGCAAGCTGGGGTGGAGGATAGTCTGGAGAATAAGACTACAGTTACAAGTCAGGCTGTTGATGAGCCATCTGCCACCAGTGAAATTATCCCCAAAGATTTGGCTACAGCTTTCATGGTGTCTCATGTGAATATGCCTATGATCCCAACCAATGAAGAAAAAGTAGAAGAACTACATGAGCCCAAAGTATGTGACCCAATTTCTCCTCCTGAGATGATATTGGCTTCTTGCAAGCCACAAGGCAACCAGGATTGCTGTATTGATCCAACATCCATGCCCAAAGCAGAGGAACCAGAGGGCGACACAGTAAAACTTGGTCCAGATCATCCAGTGTTGAAGCTCTCAAATACTGACATGGAAGATGTTGATTAGCATGATATAATGCATATAATGCTATAATGCATTTTTCCCCCCAAAATGACATTCTCCAATCCTTTCCTAAACATTTCTGTCTTTCATAATAAGATGGCTTTACAAGTGTTTTCAAACCTGCTTCAGTTTCATAGAATACAGGTTGCTGTATCCCATGATTACTGGTGGTGTTTGAATTTGCTTTGTTTCTCATTCAGGTAAACCCAATAGCTTCTCTAACATTTAGTAGAATTAAGAGTCTTCATTTCCAACGGAACTTTTACAATATGGATAGGTCCTCCTATGGGAAGCCTACTCTCAAAATGCTCCAAATAAATTAAATAAACAAATAGTTGGGAAAAGGAAGAGCTTGGTGTGCTTGAGACAGCAAAAGCTACCAAGCCTTAAGGATAAAATTAAAATGAATTTAGAAGTAGTAAAATATAGTGCCAGGGTAGCAAGTCCTAAGCTACTGATTATATATATGGTATATAAATGATTCAATCAGTATTTCTGACTGAATTTAGCAATCCTACTTATTTGATCTTTCCAGGGATTGGGATACCAAATAATAAATAAGCAAATAAATAATTTCTATCAGCAATCTATTAACTGGACAGAGATTTATAATCATGTGGGCTATAAACCAACACCACCATAGATTGATTGCTGACAATAGGGTTCATGTAATATGAAAATTACTAAGGTTAGAATTTCAAAGTTCAAACATTTGAAGCTTAAATAGGCTATCATCAAAAAGAGATATTTTCAGATACCTATCGTACTAAAACCTGAGCTCCTTCCTACTTCTAGCATTTCAAACATAAAGCATCTTGGCCTAATTACCTAACAGTAATTCATCCTATAATTTTCTGCTACTTTCATCATAGTTGAGTCTTTGGAAATGTTCTGGATTTCTGAAAACAAATCTTTTTGTTTTAAATTCATGCACATTAACTTGGGATCTGGTATGAAGTGATTTATCATATATTTTATGATATAGAATGACGGTGTGAACACTGATCCATGTCCAAGTTTAGAATTGCTGCATTTGCATATAAGGTTACATCTCTAGTAATAAAATATGACTTGAAAAATAAACTAACTTTGGAAATCTTTCAGGATACAGTGCAAGAACAAGTAGCCCTCAGATTTGGGCATGGCATTTAATTTTTGCTTTCAAAAATTAGGTGTTCCTTTTGCAGTTAATTCTTTTGTTGTTATAAAATATGCAAAATTGCCCACCTCTCTTCCTATATTCTACATCAGCAGTCCCCAACTTTCTTGGCACCAGGGACTGGTTTCATGGAAGACAATTAATTGATGGATTGGGGGGGGGGGGTTGATTTCGATCTCTCACTCTCCCGCCGCTCACCTCCAGCTGTGTGGCCCAGTTCCTAACAGGCCACTGACCGGTACTGGTCCAAGGTTGGAAACACATTCTGCATTCATATTTTGAGTTTTATATTACAAACAATTTGTCTTATTAAAAAAATATTATTCAAACATGTATGGTCACAATCTAGTACCTAGGTTTGTCATTGGATCCTCCTGAATTAAACAATGATTCAGTATGTTAGGTAGACTATATGATTTTATGGCTATCAATTGAATTTACATGTTTTTTAAACACAGCACATCTGAGGAATTCTAGCCTAGTTTCAGTAATAAGATTTTCATTTCTAACCTCCTTAGTATTTTAAACATTGCCTTAATAGTTTCCATTCACTGGGTTTTGTTTTGTTTTTTTTGTTTTTTGCTGTTTCTTTTATTAGATGAAAGCTCATATTTCAAAAACAAGTTATCAGATGTGAATATTTTTATGTGGACTATAAATTTGAATTAGGCCTAATAATGATCAGATTCTTCAAAACACTGGAGAGATATTATCTCAGTAATCTGAAGAACCATCTGAAAAATAGTTACTAATCATCTACCTACATTACCACCTTTATTGAAGAGATTCAAATTATAGACTACTCCAGAAACAATTTCACAGTAGGAATCCCTCAGCATTAGACATTAGAAAATCTCTATGAAGATCTCTATACCATTATACTGTACTGTATAATTTATTGTGATTGCACTTTGGAGAGCGGGAGAGCAGGTTGGTCTCCAAACCAATTTAAAAATACTAGAAATGACTACAAAGGCAAAACAGAAAGAAGTGTTACATATAAGAGCAATAATGTCGGGCCTTTGATCCCATAGCCCCACCCAAACAGGCAGAGTCTGTAAGACAAGCCAAATGAATCATTAATAGCAAGTCTATGCCGGAGATCTTCATTGAAATGACACATCTATCAGGCAGAAATGAGAGGCAAGCTTGTAGTGAAGTCCAAAGATATGTTTTGAAAACCCCTGACAGATCCAGATTAATAGCTAAATGTTTCTAGGGACTATTACAAATAGGATTCTGGCTACAAGATGATTTTTGAAGTATCCTGTTTGAGTGGTCCATCTCCTGGATATCTCATAAATTTCCTTAGTAATCCTTATGGAAACATGCATAAAATTAATGTATTTGAAGGCAATGAACAGACAGAATTAGGGTTTCCACGTATTCAACACTTCTCACTTTTTAAAGCCATAAATACTGAAAGGCTGGTGCACACACAGCTCTAGTTCAGCAACAACTACAACTTTATCCACTGTACTTACAGATCAAGGATTTCAAGCAGCCAGGAAAAACCTGTGCCCAAACTGATGGTCACAATTATTTTTCAGTTTCTACATGACGTTAAGGAACCAAATGAGCTTTACTTGTCGTTTTATACAACTTATAAGGGATTGGGTTGTTTTGGGATACCGGTAGTCCTCCACTTAGAACCGGTCACTTAGTGACCATTCAAAGTTACAACAGATTCCAAAAAAGGGATCACAGGATTTGAAGTTCTGACATCTGTCCTCAATCATGTACATTTTGGGCACTTGGTAACCAGCCTGCATTCATGGCTGTTTGCAGCATCCTGTAGTCACGTGACTACAATTTTACATTTTTGCTAGAAGCCACCATTTACTTCAGATTCCTGGCAAAAAAAAAAAAACCTTGTAGTGAACAATGGGTTTGCTTAACAATCACATGTTTGCTTTATAACCTCACTTGCTTAAAAACCACCACAAAAAAGGTCATAAAATCTGGTGGTCGTGTGGTGACCCACTTTACAACCATCACTGAAATTATGGGTTCAATTAGTCATAAATCAAGAACTTGTAACTTTTTTCCAAATATTTTAGAAAATAATGTAAAATTTGCTATTACTAAGGAAACTCTAGAAACCTTAGGTATATGATATAAATGGATAACAGCTGATCAAAAGGGACTTTTGGCTAGTATTTTAGATCATTATCCTAGGAAGCTGATAAGGAATAAAAGATGTATAGAACTCTGACAACAGATTCAGCTTTCCATTTAAATCCAGACCTGTTTCTTCAAATAATTCCAACTACATTTTATGCAGTCTGAGCTTCACACTCGTTTCCTTCCAGCATCACCATCCATGCTCTCATGCGTGCAGTTTTCTTTTAAAAATGGCCCACTGTTAATATGGAATGCCTCTTCATACAGGATTGCCTGTATTTATTTTCAATCCGATATAGAAACAAACAAAAGATTATTCCTCCATATTGCTGTTGCCTGCTTCCAGGAGCTAGTAGCCCAAAATAATGAACCCTATTTAAAGAAGGAAGCAACTTTTATAAGCAAGTCTTGCAACCTGAATCTTAGAAGCCAAGTGACATCTTATTTGTTTTTTTGAAGGAGTGAAGGATTCATCAAACAACTAAGTAGTGCTTTCAAACCCTAGTGTCAGTCAAGAAATCAAGATATCAAGAGCACATGTCCTCTGAAAGAGCCTATTCCGTTTCAGGACGATACATTCTTGACTGCTTCATGTTCACGTTTAGATATAACGACAGAGATCAGAATGTATTTCACTGAAATGCTCCTAATAGATATATATAGATGGTATATTCTCCTTTAGTGCAGAAGGTGATCCAAAAGTAAGACTTTCCAGAACAATCTCACTGGATAGAAACAAATCTTGGGATTAATATCCATTAAATATGTTCTACCAAATGAGACTCTGGCACAGAAATCCCATTTAATTTTTAATATCAAACTAATGATGATATGGAGGACCAGACTGCAGACATCTGCCAGTAAAACCCTTATATTATTGGTGACTAAAAAGGACCATAAGCTCTCCCTGAAAAAGGACTGAAACCCATTTTATTAATTAATGCATATCCAAATATGGTATCAGAAACAACATAGCAATCTATAGTGGCATCCTAGAAAATAACAAACTGATAATTTGGTTAAGCAAACCTTTTCTGTGCCATCTCTTTAATTTTGGTGTGCACCCCATCTAAGAGTTGAGTCAAGTCTCAACCATGTTTTGCGATGGCTATAAGGGCTTTCATATTGCTGTTCCAGAAACATATATATTCATTTAATTGGCTACTTGCTTCAGATTTAGCAGGCTATAAGGGCTTTCATATTGCTGTTCCAGAAACATATATATTCATTTAATTGGCTACTTGCTTCAGATTTAGCAACAGCATCAACTGCAGAAATCATGAAAGACTTCTTGTTTTATTCATGAGATAGAGTCCCTGAAACAATCGGACTCTTGAATCTTGTCACATCAGAGAATCAGAATCAAAGGTAGCCATTCAGTTCAACCCTGTTCAATGTAAAAATGCAAATTAAAGCATACATCCAAGACACAATGCTGCCACTTGAATGCATTCAGTGAAGGGCTGCCTACTCCTTTTCAGGGTTCTATTGTTGAACTTTAAATAATAGATTTTCCCTCTATCATTTAATAGAAATCTGCCTCCCTTCTAGTTAAACATATTATCCCAGATACTGCGCTCTGAAAAAACTGGGAAAAGACAATCTCTTTTGGGTGAAAGATTAACGAGTTATTTCAAAAGTGATGAATGCTTTGCCTTTTTTACTTTTGCAAGGCTAAATATGTCCAGCTCTTTCAGTTGCTCATCAGAGATCAGAGTGAGTCAGAGTTCCACTAATAAAGTAGAAGGGTTGGGTAAGACCTATTGTTGGTGAGACTTATTTCATACCTGTTGCCCTGGCTGTTTGGCTTCCTGAATGAGGTACTCCAGGTGGTGATTTCAGATGCTGTAGTGCAGGGGTGTCAAACTGCCGGCCCATAGGCCGGATGCATCATGCCGAAACCGCACCCACCCCATTGCCGGCAATGGAAAAAAAGTCGTGATATGTCACGACACGTCACGTGACGTTACAAGTTTGACACCCCTTGCTGTAGTATATAGAGTTCTTGTGTGACTGAAACTCTCAAGTTTGCTGGCTGGGGAATTCTGGGAGTTGAAGTCCACAAGTCTTCAAGTTGGACACCTCTCCTCTAAAGCCTACCAGTGTTCGGAAACTGACCAATATTGCAAAGGTCTGTCAGGCCTTAATGTGAATCTGGGCTGACAAAACCACTCTGGACTCTTTGCAGTTCAATTCTGCTTGGTGCTGAATCTTATCTTAAAGTAAGAACAGGGCCCTGCATTTTCATGGTGACAACAGACACTGAAGTGACCCTCATGTTATTTCTGTCATTATCTTACTGCAGAAATTATCTGCAGGATGCTTTGCACAGGCCTCTTACATACAATGCTGTGAACCTTTATCTGGACTAGTTTAAAACAGCCAAAAACATAATCCACCACAATTTATTATTTTAATACAGATAAATCACAACCCCAAAACTTAACACCACAAAAATGGCATCACAACCAATTGTTTTAAAGTTTTGTCAACATTCATTTGCTATGTACATATTTTTACCCTGCAAAAGTGCAATCCAAAACCTTTCCCCCTTTTTGAGGAAAAAAGGCTTTTACTGACAAAACGCAAACAGGGTAAACTGGATACCTCACAATAATTTGCCCTTGCATACCTCGTACAATTAAATCAGAAGAAAATTAAATTTGCTACATGTCTTCCTATCAAGAGCACACTGACAGAATCACCTGTTGCCTCAAATCTGGCTTTCAGGAATTCACTCACTTAAAATGATCAAATAAGCATCAGTCATACACTCTCATGTGCACTTAATGTTTTTAAA